TTTTTTTTTAGTCGTAACGGTCATCGACAGATGGTTGAAAGTACAGCCACTGATTGGTCAGCAGACAATTACGCCACACGGCATGATTTGCATAAGACTATGGCTTGGGAATCACAGATTTGCATAATGTTATCGCTGGTGATCGCTAATTGGTCGGCTGGGAATCACGCCACATCACATTTGCATAGTGCTACGGTTCAGTAAGCACTAATTGGTCATCGAGCTCGATGTGGACACTATAAAAAGGTTAAGTTGAATGTGTCGCAAGGTGTTCTCTCGAACCTGTTTAGCGTATTGTTCAACAATAAATGTGAATTCGTCTTCATGGAAATATAAGACATCCCCTGAAAATAAGACCTAGTGCATTTTTTAGAGCAAAAATTAATATAAGACTGTCTTATTTTCGGGGAAACACGGTAAGTGACTCATACAACATGGAATTCATATAAAACAGAATAATCAACAGTGTTATAGGGAGGTCGACTGTAATTTAAAAATAAATTTATACAGTAGTGCTCCAAATGGGCACAAAATTTCTCGCAGTTTCTACTTTTCTAGACAAAAGCTAGCCGCATGGAATTTTCTTGTCTTGATGTGGATGTGCTTGAGATTATGCTAGTTTGCCTTAATCTCCAACTACGAGTACAAGTGGTGTTTTCGGATGTTTTTTGAATCTAACACATAAATAGGAGTCAATTTTCCTTAGAAGTTCCCCGTAGAGGCTTTTCCTTTGGCAGTCGCCATACGTTGCCTTATCCCATCAATCAATCAATCTAAACTGCTGTCACGACATTTATCAAAGTTACAAAGTAATTATTATTTTTATTATTTTGCTGTGATAATCACAAAAATTATTCTAAAAACTATCAAAAATGAATATGCTGATTAAGCTGATTTTAGTGATATATCAATCTGTGAGAAACATGTTTCTAGGTGATAAGATGGATTAAAGGAATTTTTAGATACACCAAATAATTACTGTGACTGTTGTTTTAAGTAAAACTTCAAATGAAATTACTAGTGCCAATAACTAACCATTGAACATATTGTTAGCATTGGAAATTGATAAAAATTTCTTAAATAACCTGTATGTAAAGTAAATAAAACCAAATTGTAAAGAACACTTTAAACTTATATTTTACTAATAAAGTTTTGAAGTTTGTATAAATTTAAGGATGTTATTTTAGTTTTATCTTAGGTGCACGGCATTATCCTACTTCTCCCTAATATATAATTTTATATGTATGTATATTTTAGTTGCAATTTTTTAAAGATTTTTATGTATTATATGACCGATCTCCATTTCTCTCGCTTTGAAGGACTCCGAACTGTAAGAAATCTCATTGAGAATTGTCTATAACTAATAAAATAAAATTTAAGAATAAAATTGAAATAGACAAATGAATAAATAGAAAAGTTGTTTTAAAAATTTAGAAACAATATATTTATATAAATGATATTAATATTAGTTTGCATATTATATTTTTTAAAATACGTATAGAAAAAGTCATCATTGATTTAAAAAAAAAAATGATGCATTAAGAAGGAATCAACTAAAACCAATTTCGGAAACATTGATTCAAGGAATAAGACTCCAATCATTACATTGAATAGCAAATAATCTTGCCTTTTATTACACTGTGATTTATGTAATAAAAAGAAAGTTTATAAATATATATTAAATATAATTACTTACTATTTTTGCATTTTTTACTGCATTTAGTGTTTTCTTGAGAATGTGGATCATCTATAAGAAAATATATTTAAATGTTAAGGTATAAAATAATTACTTTTTAAACTGAGAACTAAGAAGTCAAATAGATTACAATTTATATGAAATATATAACTTACTTGCAAAGACAGTTCCCATAAAAAAGAGAAATATGAATAATAGTTTTAAGTCCATGATAATGTATGATATAATTGCAGAGAACTGTTCTAAATTTCCTCTGTCTACAATCTGAATAAGCATTTCGAACATCGATATTTTTATAAAGATTTTTATCTCTTATAAATAATTATTTTGTTTAGTTTGGTATAAAGCCGTAGAAATATAAATAGACTTGAAAAAATTTTAACATATTTTATTTTTACCAACTCATCAGAATTTATTATAATAAACATAGTAAAACCTGTCTAAGACGGACTCACCACAAAACGGAAAATAAATCTCGGAAGAAAACGATGTGCTATGTAAAATACTACTGTATAAATTAAAAACCTGTGTAAATACTGTGAAATGGGAGATTTTTGGTGAGCATAAGGTAACTGAGTAAAGTGATATTTTTCTGAGTTTTAATGTTTGAGGGTGTTACTACTAACACCCTCAAATTTAAACAGTAAATAAAATCTAAATTATAACGAGCAACTATTTATTGTGACATCGTCACAATTCCGGGCTACAATTTTTAATTTATTTAATTTAAAATACAGTATATGCTCTCCATCTCAAATTAGTAGTATCTTGCCCCTGTACATCATACTTTTCCTAATAACAACAAAGTCACGCTTCTTGAGAATGTGGATCATCTATAAGAAAATATATTTAAATGTTAAGGTATAAAATAATTACTTTTTAAACTGAGAACTAAGAAGTCAAATAGATTACAATTTATATGAAATATATAACTTACTTGCAAAGACAGTTCCCATAAAAAAGAGAAATATGAATAATAGTTTTAAGTCCATGATAATGTATGATATAATTGCAGAGAACTGTTCTAAATTTCCTCTGTCTACAATCTGAATAAGCATTTCGAACATCGATATTTTTATAAAGATTTTTATCTCTTATAAATAATTATTTTGTTTAGTTTGGTATAAAGCCGTAGAAATATAAATAGACTTGAAAAAATTTTAACATATTTTATTTTTACCAACTCATCAGAATTTATAATAATAAACATAGTAAAACCTGTCTAAGACGGACTCACCACAAAACGGAAAATAAATCTCGGAAGAAAACGATGTGCTATGTAAAATACTACTGTATAAATTAAAAACCTGAGTAAAATACTGTGAAATGGGAGATTTTTGGTGAGCATAAGGTAACTGAGTAAAGTGATATTTTTCTGAGTTTTAATGTTTGAGGGTGTTACTACTAACACCCTCAAATTTAAACAGTAAATAAAATCTAAATTATAACGAGCAACTATTTATTGTGACATCGTCACAATTCCGGGCTACAATTTTTAATTTATTTAATTTAAAATACAGTATATGCTCTCCATCTCAAATTAGTAGTGTTTTGCCCCTGTACATCATGCTTTTCCTGATAGCAAGAGAGCCTGCCGGTCTGCCGGTCTGCCTAATTCCTTCCAGGAGTCAGATAGATGACCGGCACGACTCTATTGAATTTTTGAATTGAAATAATGTGACTTCCGTTTGCATCGGAAGTTCGTATAGAGTTAATCGGGGCCTCCTGCCCTTAAGGTTTCCATATCAGGTCTCGTCTTTCATCTAACTCCGTTCTCGAGATTAAGGAAAGACGGACGAACGACAGTGGGAATTGGTGTACAATTTTTTCAAATTGCAGTCCAATAATTCTCAAATAATAAATATTCCGCATTTCTCTGATTAAACGCTGGGATTCCAATAAATCTTGGCCCATGTATAAATTCCGGGAAATAATGATGCTAGTTCACTCTGCTGCTTGACATGGAGTTGTACAGTATCTTTCTTTCAAAGAGACGACTCACAAATTTATTGAATACTTCACGTTCACTGAAGACAAGGCATACATGTACATTTTACATAGCATTTAATTTACATGACGTAAACACTTCGGTTTGTTAACGAAATACTCCTTCTAAGGAGGAATTCTAGTGCTTTTCAATTTATCAAAATGTTTTAAATATGAATTTTTAGCTAAATATCAATTTCTTTTTATTTTCAGATTATTTGCTTTTGGTTTTATTTTTTCCTGTCCAAAATTTCGGATCAAAAACAAATCTTTGAAACTATGCAAACTGGTAATGACCACGAATTGGACAAAGAAGAAACTACAAAATGACAACTTACAGATAAACTTAGTTTAGTTCGAAAGTAATAGAATAGCCTAAATTCCATGTAAATCTAAATGGCAAACTACCGAATATTTTTCTGCTTTGAATAGGTTTTAGTTTTTTTTTATCTTTAGATTATACAAGACACGTCATATAATTACGTTTCTTTTTATAGTAAAATCACTTTTATTAGGTTACTAGATTTTATTCAAATGGATCCAAGCGATTCCAAATAAAGATAAGAGTATTCGAATGCAAAACTAAGAACTATTCAATTATAAAAATTCCTCGTTGTTTCCGAACTTGATCTACGTATTCAAATATATTCTCGGGAACAAACGAGATCAAGTTTCACCCTTAAAAATGTACTGCTCCAAGCAATTTTTAGGGGAGTGAAACTTGCTATGCTGGTATTTAGAGCCGCGGCCCTGTGTATCTCTGCCTATATAGTGGAATTAGATTTAATAATCTACTTTTAATAATATGCCATTATGAATTCAGTACTTGCTGAACTCGTAATGATGTATTAGTAGGATCAATCAGTATATTGGAATACATTAATCAGTAATTTCGATATGAATAACTTAGGATTTTTTTGATAGGATTTTTCATATATCAAGAATTCGCGATCTCATCCAATCCCTGATATCCTAGGATGGATAGCCTCCAGTGTTTACTTATATAAGCATTGTTTAATTTCAGATCTATAGTAATACTGAGTCCGGTAATGAAAACCAACGTTTACATATGTTTGTTAAAACAGACATAATTCAAAGTCTCCATTACTTGATAGATCAGAAAAGACATTTACTTAAATTTTTATATTAAACAATTGTAGATTACAAAGGCGAAGATTAAAATCAAATTGCATCAATGTTTTTCAACTGAAACTAGATTTTACAAACGTACGGAAGAGCTACAGGAAACAGAAAAACAAAGCGCTACCAAATGGGAAAGCAACGTGAGTAATCTGATATAAAAAAAACTAGATTGTTGTGATATCGTCACAATGTCGGGCTGTAGTTTTTAATCATATTCTTAATTTATTCAATATAAAATATGTTTTTTCCTTCTCAAATTTGTAATGCCTTGCCTCTGTACATCATACTTTTCCTAATAACAACAAAGTCACGCTGGTCATCTACGTAACTCCATTCAGGGAAAATTTTGAATTAACCTCACGTAACTTCCGGTCTAGACCGGAAGTTCTCGTATAGCTAATCTGGCCTCTTGCCTCAAATCTTTCCATATTTGATCTTGACTTTCATCTAACACAGTTCTCAAGATTAAGGATGGTCAGACACACGGACGACAGTGGAAATTTATAGGTCTACAATTGTTTCAAAGTGCAGCCCAATTAATGCTAACTTGCCAGTTCGGCTCATGGAGACTACTAGATCAAAATTGCAGTATATAATTTTTTTCTTTGTTAAGATTATATTCATTGTCTGGAATAATGTTTGACAACATAACTCCTCTTCAACTCAACGCTAGAAGAGATAATAGATAAAAAAACAACCTTCTTTAATATGGAAAATTCTGGTCGATAAATTGCGTTTCGTTTTAAACATGTTTTACTGTATTATTGTATTATTAATTAACTACACCAGTAGACTATAATTCTTTCTGAATAATTACAAATTTTATAACAAATTTTTATGCGTCAATTAAATGTTAATTATATAACTTTACCTATAAAATTTTAATTTAGTCATTTACTAGTAGGATCTGTCCAGTAGTAAAAGGCAATATCTACTTGTATTATTGTGATACAGAGAATGAAGATAGAATAAACAGTTAAAAGTACCGCAAGTTTTGTCCACAGTCTTTCTACAAATTTTTTTATTTCTCAGACTTAGCAAGGAAAGGCTGATTTTGGAATGCAATCAAGTCAGCCTCATCTGTAACGTTAGGTTGGTAGGATGCAATGCAAGTATATATTCTAAACCTATTAAGTTATGAAGGATGAAGACTTACTTGAAATATGTATAGTTATTAAGCATAACTAGCAAGTTAATCTTAATAAGAAATACTTTGAAATATAGCCTTCAATAATTACTCTTAAGGCTATATATATATATATATATAATCATGTTGGACATTTCCAAATTAGAGAATAGAGTTGTGTAAAGTCTTGTTTCCACAGTATTAAAAAAAAAAAAAAAGCAAAAAATCAGAAATAGAAATTGCTTTGTAAACGAACTAAGAGAAAATACACCAGAATGAATTTTTTAAGCAATCAATTAGCTTGATTTTATTGATGCTAATCCAAATGTTTAATTGCAAAAATAAATACTAAATCAAATTAATTTTAATTTGTAACTCAATAATTTGGCAATTAGATATTTGTTTTAAAATTAATAAAATCAAACTGGGTGACTGCTTCTGTATGTGTATGTACTGTATATGTATACATATACACACTTTCTTTTGTGTGCACTACATAAACATCTAAAATTTTGAAAAACGCATTTATCTAAAATTATCTTTGGCTTTCTTAATGCTATATTGATATTTTTATCAATGTACTAATGTATAGTCGTAGGTATAGTACAATATACTACACTGACATGTGAGAAGATATAACGTGTACAAACCAAACTGACAATGAATTAAATCTAAACACCACATAGATCCTTAAATATTGAAATGAGGATAAGACAGTATTTTTGTTAAAATATATCTCATATAAGTAATGCCGTGAACAATAAATTTTTTCTCGCTATTGACCTACTACAACCACTGCTACAGAAAAGCAAAATACAGTAGTTCCACAAATGAAACAGATGTAAAATAAAGTTAATAAAATTATTATTATTATTTGTATACTATGAGTATATTATAGTGTTATCAATTTGCACTGTTGAAAAACGTAATCAGAACCAATAAACTGTCTAAATTAAATAGTAAATGCTTATTTAAAATTAATCTTAGGGAAAATAGAAAATGAATCTCTATATATTCAAAATTTTGGTGTCTTGTTTTAAGTCACTAAATAACTAATAACCATTCATAAATAATATAATTCAGGTTTAAAAAGCAGACTTTATTTTTAATATTTTATAAGTTAATAATATGAATACTTAAATTCCTTAATTAAAAAGCAACAGTTTTTTTGATGTCACATGAAACATTTATATATAATACTAAAATTGCAACTGTAATATACAATTGAATTTGTAGTTATTAATAAAACAGCATAGGAATAAATTTAATTGACAGAATATTTTTAAATAGATAAATTTTATTCATTTCTTTTAGTGTAGAAAAGTAAAATTTTTTTTTAAATTTTATTTTAAACTGAACTGGATGAGACAGCCTTTTCTCTCTCCGCTTGTCTTCTCTTCACATCCCAATTGTAGACTCTAGCCATATCTATTAATGCTGTTAAAGACTAGAATTATCATTAAAAAAACTTATTATGAATAAAAGTAGATTCAAATTTGTTCTTTTCTGAATATACAATAATATGATTAATTATACTTACAGTACAAATAATAATACATGTGGTACCTGGTGTTGCCTAGAAAATCATTTAGAAGATTTTTAAAAATAATAGCTTCCTTGGACAGAACAATTTCCATAGAATTAAAAACCACTTTCAACATGAATGGACTACACATTCAAATTTAATGCCTGTAAAAAAATCTCTACCAACTGTGCTCATGAAAATGCAATTTATATTAGTTTCTGACCAACCAATAAGATCTTGATGCTAAATTACCACAGATTTCAATTCATTGCCTGTAAAAGCCCATTGTTTTTCCCAGAGTTGGTTGATATTTATATTGATTTTTATGTAATGAATTCCAATTGGTTATCAGCTAATTAATCAGATTTTGAGGCAAATTGACCAAACTTTCAAGCTCAGTAACCTCAAAAATGCCTAAGTATATGTTTTATGCTTGGTTTGGTAAGCTAAGACAATACAAGACAAGGGTGATCTGCAAAGCAAGTACTTTTAAGGAGTTTCTATGGGAAAATGGCTCCTATTTACATGTTACACGTGAAGAAACCTGGAAACTATGCAGCTAATCCTTTGGTCAGATGTGAACCCAAGACCATTTACCAGCGTTCAATAGTTTTATCCAAGTTCTAGTTCAATTTCAATTAAAATACATTTATCTCAACTTTGACAATTACACTGTAAACATGAATTAGACTCAGGAAAGCACCAGTAAAAATGTTTGACCCAACACAAAATACTATAACTAATGAGTCATTTTCTCATATTATTCTCAATCCCATGGTCAATCTCCTAACAAGTGGCAACATGCATGACTGCATCCCCAACTTCTGCTTCAATTTCCATCTGTGGTCTTAGTGCTCTTCATATCCAAATAAATTCCAATTTGCAGTATACCAGCTTGCCTGATCACCACACAATTCTGGGTTATTGGCTACTTTACAGAGAGGATGCCAGATTATCAGACATTCCAAATTATTGAGTGGTGGATTGACAAACTTCTATAAATTTATAACATGTTTTCTAAATAATTTTATAACCAATAATGCTTACAAAAAAATTTCTTTCAAATACATTAATAAAAGATATAATTTTTCATTTTTCAAAATAAGCATTTTCTTAAAAAGGATACTGACTTCAGTTGTAGTTAACTGATCTCTCAAGAAATCCAAATCACTCTCTAGAAGATCAAGATTTTTAGTTGCAGTTTGAAGATTTTTAGTAAGCAATGCTTCTGCATCATCTAATGAATACTCTAACATTACATTAGCCTAGAAACAAAACAATATGCATTTTAACAAACTTATTTAACTTATTAGAATAACAATCATAAAACTAAACAGTTTACCAAATTTTATCTAGATTTATTTATTTTACAATCATATTTAGTAAAAAATCCACATATGTTCATGAAAATAATAAAATCAAATAATTAATAATTTACCACATTTTTATGCATATAACATACAGTGGCATACACCCTGCAAAAATTGCTAGAACAAAATACACCTTTGCATAACCAATTCCAATGTATATTCTGTGACCATGGAGCAATGATTGTTCCATAAGCACAAGTCTGTAATTGCAATTTAAAATCAGCAACTAATCTTGCATTATTATAAAATACAGTGATTTTCAACCAGTGTGCTGTGAAAATTTTTGAAGGTTACTACATAAAATATTTTCAAAAGAAGCCTAAAGAACAATAAGCATATATGTTAAAATTAAAACCTCTTTAAATTGATTATACAAGTTTTTCATTGTTATAATAAATAACTGTATATGAAATGTAGTAAAAAATATATATTCATAAGCAAGATTATATATGCATAACCCTGGGTTATTTCATTTAAAATGAAATTTTCTTTAAATCAAAAATATATCTATAAAATTGTCCATATTTAGTTCAAATTATTTTAATTTAGAAATAATGGACATTGAGCAGGTTTCTAAAGGCAATTATCATGCCACTTTTAAATGCAAATTAAGACTTAATGTTAATTGCTTTTCTTATATAAATGAAAATTATTAACTTAAATAACTATTGTTGTAACCTGCTGCTATTTTAAGGAACAACAATATTTTATTTAATTCATAAAAAATATAGACAAAAAGAATTAGGCTTAAGCTGTAGTATGCAAGGTTCCTACTCAAATTTTTGTTTTGAATTCCCTGATTTTCCCTGACCCTCACATTTCTTAGTGTGGAATATCGACATAATAAAACAGCATTTACTGCGAACATCGAGTACATCTATCCTTCTTTTTGCATAGTTGATATGCTTCAAAGACTGCCACATTAAAAAAATATAGTACATACATCCTGTAGAAAAATATTTGATAGAATCCACAACTTCAATGTAATGAAAAAATAAGCAATTTACAAACAAAACAAGGGCTTCTTATTTTATTTTTAAGTTAACATTGGTTAAACTATCGGATTACCTGTTGATTTCGAAAATATAACTACAGTATATTTATTACAAGTATGATCAATCTTGCCAGTTTTTAAGCCCTAAATTTGCCAAAATCAGTGATATTTGTTACCCAACGTCATTTCAGTTAAACTAATTATTAAACTATGTATCGAATTTGTGGAAAAAACAAAAGAGAGGGGAAAAATACACTTGCAGTACAGTACTTTCAAGCAAAATCGTAACAACAAATATAAAAAGCTCGTGCCAATAATAAGTCAGTGCCAGCATTTTACTATAAACGTCAGGTAACTATTTATAATTTTTTATGTTGTATAGTAATATTTTAAACATGAAAAACAATTAAAATTACAGATTTTTACTGATCTATTTAGCTATTTTGAAGTGAACATTCTAATAAATTACAATTTCAACTTTTAAAAGTTTGCAAATAAATTTTTAATTAGTTATTTTTTATTCTAATTAACAATTTCATCTTTTTATAATCGCTGAATTATTATTAAAATTAAAAATTAAACACTATTACATAAAAGTAGTTTATCCTCTTATTAATCCACAACTGTAAAATTATGATTTCAGAACAATGAAAAAAGCCATTTCAAAATGGATTCTGGTATATTTTCTTATTAAAGATTGCAGCATTACTTCTTGCCACCTGCAGATGGCTATGATTGGTCATCCATATTCAGCAAACGAGATCAACAATGCAGTTAAGGAGACAAATTCCCTGACTTTTTGACAATTTTCAACAAATCCCGACTTTCCCTGATTTTCCAGGTGCATAGGAACCCTGAATATGGCAACAGAATGTTTACAAACACAACTAAATCATGTGATTTTTTTGAGAAAATTTGTGCTGCAGAAATTTTATTATATGTTTAAGTGCACCATGAGATAAAAAAGGTTGAAAAACACTGATATAATACTTATTCCCTTTCAAACTGTCTTTTAAATACAGTTGTTAAATATGGTTTACATGCACAAAAATGTGATAAATGTATGAATTTTGAAAAGTAAATCATATTATGTCATTATTTTCTATAAATTAAATAAAATCTATATAAAAAATAAAGGAGTATTACGCAGAACTATTTATTTATTTTTTCATGAAAAAACTTTTGCATGAAACTTGTATAAACTTCAATGAATATAGATAATAATAATTTTATTGAGTAGAGTGAAACTAAATAAAAATGCAATAAAGAAACAAACACTTTGAATTGTTTTAGTAATAATAAGTAATAAGAAAATGAAATACACATATTGTTTAAAAGCAGCTATCTCTGCAATATATTAACTTAAGTTTTATCCCATTCAGTTATTACATCATCCAGACAGGAAGTGATTTTTTTTAATCATTTATTTTACACATTTTTTCATGTTTTGGAAAGAATTCAGTTCTAAAGTGTAAATATACGAGGGTAGGCTGAAAAGTAATGCACACATGCTTGTAGAGCACAAACGAAATGATTTTCAGAAGCGTGCCAGGTGGCATATGGAAGTAACATTCNTGGATAAATTATAGACGTATCCAAATAAAGACCAAGAACCTTATCAACTTTTTGATGTTTTGCAAGCTATAAATTATATATAATAAAATTAACAGTTTAATGTTTATAAATAACATACTGAAAATTTAAATATATCGATTACCTCTGATAGAATATTCATGTAATCTACAGTTTTTCCCAAGCCGAAGTCTGTTTTTTCATCAATTATGAGCCACAGAAGTTCACTGCCTTGATGTTTGAAATAAAATGAACCACGAGCATCAGAAGGGATAGATTCTTTCATCTTTAAAAATAAATAACATTAAGTTGAAATGTTCTTAATCAATTATATGATTAAATGATATACAGTAAATGAATATTTTACACTTTCAGAAAGTGGATCAATTTTTGTTTGATATTTATGATTTGATGTTCTAAAAGCCAGTCATTTTGGTCGTGGTTTTTTTTTACTTACATCAAACATATAATGGGTGAATTCACTAAAAGACATATGACCATAATCTCTTAGCGGTGAAAACAAACTTTCCATCCAATAATCAAGACCTTCTAATCTTCCTCCAATCTAACATATAAATTCAATATGTAAATTAAAAGATTTAATTTAAAAATAATAAATTGTTCGCGTATTCAAAACACACCCACTTCGATATTATTTCCGTAAAAAACTGAAGTCAAATTTGTCATGAACGATCGTGGTATGAACGAATCCAGTGAATAAATTATGTTTGATTCAAATTCTCCATTTAGATTCATATTTTGATAAACTGACCATTCGATGTTTTGAGAATATTTTCTAATATCGAGTTGCTGAGGCTGGAATTGGAAATCTAATACAATTCTTCTAATATCTTCTTTTTTAGACGAAGAGCTTTCTTGAAGATTTGTCATATGAGAATAAACGAATGCTTTTACTAAAAAAGAAAATTGATGTTTATTTTTTATTTCACAATTAATTCGAATTCAAGAAATATTTTATTCGTACTTTGATTGAGCCTTTCTGAGTCATAAATTTGTTTAATCCTTCTCACAACTTCTCTGTCTGCACATTTCATTGCTCCTAGATAAGCAGTAATACGCACTTCAACATGTTCATCACGATGTGAGAAAATGTTTAATAACTGTTGTTTAACCTCTTCTTTGCATGGTGTTCGTCGGAATGCTTCTATTGCTGCTAATCGAATGGTAATTTCATTGGATGGTTCTTTGGCACATTCTAAGATTTGTCTGCTAGCTCCTCCAACTCTTCCTAAATTTCCAAAACTTTTCAAAGCTGCGATTACCTATCAAGAAAAAACTACATTATTTATTCAAGAAACTTTTAATGATTAATTTAGAAAAGTTCAGATGGCGTATTTATTGAAATCATGAGAATATTAACTTGTAATTTTTGAGATAAAAAACTTAGTATTTGCATATGATTTATATAAATATCTATATTTAATATTGTTATTAATCAGTATATTACCTGTTTTATTTCTGCTGGTTGATAAACATTGCATCTATAATTCAAGTATCTTTTTAAAGATGTTATTACTTGCTGAATAGCTTCTGATTGTTCACAGTTTGTATTTTTCATGCAATAATTATGAGACATTGCAGTAATCGCTAGAAGTGCTTGTTTTCCAGCTTTTTCGTAATCCAGCAATGGCTAATTTAAGCATTTAAAGATTCGTATTGAATATTTTATTATTTGTATCATATTTTATTTAGAATTAATAATACTTACTTACCACTACAGATAAAATAGCATCTTCGGTGGGATATTGAATGAAAGCCAAACTAGTAACCCAAAATGTTGTTTGAATTTTACTAACAGTGCCATTTTGAATCTTCTTCGCCATTACTTTGATAGAGCCTTCGTGACCAATATGAGGTAATGCATCATTGAGTAAACTTCTGAAAAAATATACGAACATGTTACACTTATACTAAATATCTTAATTTAAAATAATTTTATATTAACTTCAGCCACAATGATTGGCATTTTTCTTCTCTGTCTATTTTGTCATAAATATCTTGTAGTTCTCCAGGTTGTACTTTACGAAGAGTCTGCACTAAACGTGAGAAGAGTTTTGGTGTTTCTGGATTAATTGTTTTTTTATGATGAATTTCGGAACAAATATTTCGTAAAATTCTTAATGCTTTTTCAAAAGCAAAATTAGAGAACATTTCTGGTTGGTTAGAATAAAATAGATCTTCTCTTTCGACGATTTCATCTAATCAAAGCAAATTTGTAATCTAGTTATTCAGTAGGTGAAGACTGGGTACATAAAAGTGTAAAATTTACTCACAAGGTGTAAATGACGTTAATCTTCCAACAGATTTTAGAATGAGTTTAACTTCTGCTTTCGTTTTATAAGTCCTCGTATCAATACGTGTATTTTCGGAAAGCTTAAATGTACTATATTCGATGCATGAAACGTTTGTGACAATACCTTCTTCAATAATCTGTTCACAGTTGAAAAACAGGTCGTCTATTACGGGTAACTATTTAGTTAAAAAGTAATTATATATTTGTTTTAAAATAAATTATAACTAATATGTTAGATATACTCACCCCTTTTGATTTTAAAAGAAGGGCGGTTATCAGTGCTGTATTGCCAGTACGTCCGGACTCACATTCAAAGAAATCCTTAGCTTTTTTAACTATTACTGTTCTATTTGATCTTTCTATTACACCGAAGACAGTACTACACCTTCCAACTATATCACTCTGTAATTTAATTTATTTTAATACAATAAATTAAATTTAACTCAGGCCAAATAGATTGACCAAAGCTTTAAGAACAAATAGTAAGAGTAACTATTCTTAGTATTGTATTTATGCTAGTAGGCTACGTTTAATTATTATATAAAAATTCTTATTTATTTTTTTTTAAATAAAAGTAACTGCATACTTCATTTTTATGTTCATAATCCATATCAAAACTGCTCATAGTATTCTGAAAAGCAGACAATATAGCTCGTTTAATATTAATAGTTTTATCATCATCTGGCCACGGACAAATTTCTGCAATTTTACCATCTTCAAACGAAAACAACAGAGGAAACTGCATTAACTCTGTTATTTTGCTTTCTTTTTCTCCAGAAATGAGTAATGTGGCATTTTTTATCTGTAAAATGTCGAATATTGTATAAGAATTTGAATTAAAAAATTAATATAAATCTCAATTTTACATGCCATTTTCTGAAAAATTAAACATAAATATAAGATTAAACGTAATAAAATTTATATTATTATAAACACAAAATGTTTAAATAAAGATTTTTAAAAAATCAACTAACCTCCAAAGCCATGTCGCAGTTTCCTAAGTTACTTATTTCAACTTTGGCTTTAATTGCAAATGGTTTTAAACGAAATCTAGTGGCTCTAAAGAAATTTGTGCTTTCAAAGTCGTAGACATACGTTGTTTGTTCTTTATAGCGAAATTTCTTAGCAGCTAAAATATAAATAAATGATCAAATACTATTATATATCGTAAAGAAATGTGTAAATCGTTTAAAAAACTTTTATTTACCATAAAATTAGTAAAAAATACAGTTTGTAGTATATACCTCTATAATAAAAAAAAAATATATAGAGAATGGTTCAATAAAATGCAAGATTTTAATTTATTCATCAAAATTTATTTCGTTCCCTTCAAAGTAATCCCCCACTGCAATGCACTGCACTTACGCCAACGTTTTTTTCCAATCCTCGAAACATGCTTTAAAATCATTTTCGTGAAACTCCTTGAGAACTCGCAGCGAATTTTGTTTTATGGAATCAATCGACTCAAAATGACTCAACTTGAGCATCTTGTACTGCTCGAAAACTCTTTTTGTGATCGTCACAAAAGGCTTTTTGCAACATTTCCAACATTTTTCTAGCAGTAATTCCGTTGAGTAAACAAAGTTTAACGCACGTTCTTTGTTCAATTACACTCGACATTTTGAAAAATCGCGGCGCAAAAATTTTTTACGTACGAAACAAGCGTTTATTTAAAAACGAAAATAAACGATGACATACGGATTGCTGTTAAATGCGTACAAAATGCGAAAAAAACGACGATGGCGCCCTTTTGTACGCATGCAGTTTACTATTTCCGATACTTTTTGTGTTTTATATTTTGCTTTATAGAAATATTTTAAAACATATTTGTAATGTTCATAATTTGTATAGTAAGCTAAAATCAAAGTTAATAATTAAATTTTACTTATTTGATCATTTTTTAAGAGTGTTTTTGAAAAACCATTTTTTTTAAACCAAAAACGAATAAAAATATAAATTATTTTCATAAACTAAATAGGATGAAGCTAACAAAAAGCAATATTTATAGTTAATTAGTATGCTGGAAATTTTTCATTAAATTATAATTTACAGATAGTTTGTTTGATTATAAAACACTTTGCTATTTATATAACTCCTGTGAGTTTTGTGAAAATTTTCTTAAATTTTGCAGTGAGATTTGTGTATTAGGGAAATTAATACCATTAAATTTTGGTAGTAAAGGTCAACGGAGGTGAAAGATAGAGGGGGGTCTCTTGTCATATCTCCAGTGGGATCGAACTTAATGAAGATTTTACTCGTTATTACGGTAACATTTGCAACCTTTTTTAAATAAAACTCCCATCTCTACTTTCAAAATTAAGCTTT